TACTTATAATTTGACCGCGTTCACGTGTTGGCCTACAAAAATTACATACCCTAGCGCAATGTGGAATTATAAGTGCGTATACACACAACTATCAATATAACTCGTGTAAAAAAAGTTACCACCAGCAATAGAATTTCGATACTTGAAGATACAGATTTAAATTCCACTCAACCAATACTATTCCGTACTTATAATTAGACCGCGTTTACGTGTTGTACGAAAAGCTACATACCCTAGCGCAATGGGATATAAGTGCGTATACACACAACTATCAATATAACTCGCGTAAAAAAAATTTTTCTAGCAATAAATTTCGATATAGGGAGATACAGATTTAAATTCGCATCAATAAAACTATTCCCGTACTTATCGGTAGACCGCGTTCACGTGTCAGTACAAAAACTACATACCCTAGCGCAACAAATTACAAGTTAGTATACGCACAACTATCAATATAACTCGCGTAAAAAATTTTCTAACAATAGAATTTCGATATAGGGAGATACAGATTTAAATTCCGCATCCAAAAAATACTATTATTCCGTACTTATAATTTGACCGCGTTCACGTGTTATTACAAAAATTACATACCCTAGCGCAATGGTATAAGTGCGTATACACACAACCTATCAATATAACTCGTGTAAAAAAAATTTTCTAGCAATAGAATTTCGATACTTGAAGATACAGATTTAAATTCCGCATCCAATAATACTATTTCGTACTTATAATTAGACCGCGTTTACGTGTTATTACAAAAAACTACATACCTAGCTGCAATGATATATAAGTGCGTATACACACAACTATCAATACTCGCGTAAAAAATTTTCCTGGCAATAGAATTTCGATATAGGGAGATACAGATTTAGATTCCGCATCAATAAAACTATTCCGTACTTGCAGGTAGACCGCGTTCACGCATGTTATTACAAAAACTACATACCCTAGCGCAACAAATTGCAAGTGCGTATACACAACTATCAATATAACTCGCGTAAAAAAATTTTCTAACAATAAATTTCGATATAGGAATACAGGTTTTAAATTCGCATCGAATAAGACTATTCCGGACTTATAATTAGACCGCGTTCACGTGTTATTACAAAAAAACCACATACCCTCTTTCTCTACAAGATTGGTAAAAAAATTCCTAAGTATTTCCGAGCTATGCCCCAATTTCATCCCAGATCACAATAATAACACACTCGATTTGTGATATTCGCGCATGCCTGTTTTGAGATTAATTTTATTGTTACTTACGGTCGTCTTTCAAACATCTACGGCAAGTTCTATGAAATAATACTATGTAAACACTTTGCGACACTGCGATACTACCACAAATCAAGTACGGTTAGATAAAAACTTTGTATTACTTACAAGGCCAACATGTTCGCGCGATATTGTATTTGCAATCCATGACCTCAACAGCGGAGAGAGAAAATAATTTCACGTTTTCTAATACATATTCGCAGCATATAAAATCATCGGTAACACAACATTTGTTATTATTGCATGGCGTTGATTCGTGATCAAATATAACTCGATTTAAAACATGGCTGGCCAATCCCAGGCCCGCGGGCCTGAGGTAACCAGCCAGGACATTGAATTTGCCGCCGCAAAATCAAAGTTGGAACTTTTGTATGTGTATAATATTTTATGTATGAATGGCCATAGTCTGTGGCCCGGTGCCGCCATCAATCTAAAGATTTTGCCCTGCAGGAAAATCCATTGGCCAGCCCAACTTGATTTAAAGCGTCGCAGGCGAAACACGGCAACTCGCGAAAGAACACACAGAGCGACGGCGACAAGTCATTTGCAACTGCGCGAATGCAAGGCACTGAAGTTTTATGCGGCGTGTGAGTTCCGACGGCGCACACCGCTGCATAGACGCTAAACAAGTAAATATAAAGATAAAACAAAACTTGTTTACCAACAGAGTCAGCGCGATCTCACACGGACACACGCTTTTAAGGCGATGTACACTCACTACTACCAACGAAGCAACTGGCAGCGATAAGTGCGTTTTTGAATTTATTGCAAATATGAGCATTCTAGCGCCATCTTGGCTTGATTTATAGAATTATTGATAGATTTATTGATATTTATTAAAAGGTTACACGACAGTTCGGCGTCAACAATATGCCCCGCATCTTTTGCCATTTTTATGAGGAAATCTTCTTTCAGCAAATGTAGCTTTTGTAATAATTGAAATTTTCAAATTCTCATTTCGTATGCAGAATGTATATTTAATTCTGAATCGGGAACCATTAACACAATTATTCATACCTTATTGGCATGTAAAAACCAAATTATTAATTAACATTGCAATTAAGGCTTAAACGGTGAAACTTATGAAAAAATATTACGTAAATATTCGATGTAGAATTAAAAAATCTATTGGAATTCGAAATCAGAATTTAAAAATTCTTACTTTGAATTTTCGACATAAAAAAAAGAAATCTTTTGGCTTTTTTATAACAAAAACTTTTGTTTGTTGTTTGTTCGTTTCGCAAGTAGTATACCATCTTGTCAAGAATTCTTTAAGGATTAAAGATATGAAGTTCTGTCTTTCGTATTCCTCTTAGTTCTCGAGATAATCATGATTTAATCTTTTAAACTTTCCGTTGGAAGAAACGTATTTCGATTGTTTTGCCTGAAAAATTTTAAGAAAAAAGTCCGACCCTGTTGTTCGACAGATATTTTTTTCATTAAAAAAAGTTCGACCCTGTCTTTCACCATGAAATATATTTTTCGGCTATGTAAAACGGCCTCTACCGACCTAAATTAATTTCATCGGAATATTCAACTCAAAACTTTGAAGGGCGTTTTAGGGCACTTCCCAATGGTATAAAAAAAAGGTGAACTTTGTAGGGAATTTCTTAAACTTTAATATGACGTTTAAAAATCCTAGATCGCCCTATTCATTCTAGAGATATAGGGTGTTTTTTCTTTCTGAAAGTCAAGAAAAAAGTAAGAAACCTACCAATGTTTGAAGGAGCGTTTTTAGGGCACTTCCGATTATATAAAAGAAAAGAAAAGAAATAAAAGGTGAACTTTGTAGGGAATTTCTTAAACTTTAATATGACGTTTAAAAATCCTAGATCGCCCTATTCATTCTAGATATATAGAAGATTGTTTTCGTTGAAAGAAGTCCAAGAAAAGAGCAAACATACCAATGTTTGAAAGGCGTTTAGCGCACTTCCCGATGGTATAAAGAAAGAAATAAGGTGAACTTTGTAGGAATTTCCTAAACTTTAATATGACGTATAAAAATCCTAAAAGCGCCCTATTCATTCTAGAGATATAGGGTGTTTTCATGAAAAGTTAAGAAGAAAAAGAAAAGAAGCATACCAATGTTTGAAGGGCGTTTTAGGACACTTCCCGATGGTATAAAAGAACGAAATAAGGTGAACTTTGTAGGGAATTTCTTAAACTTTAATATGACGTTTAAAAATCCTAAATCGCCCTATTCATCCACAGAGATATAGGGTGTTTTCCTTGAAAAGTCAAGAAAAAGTAAGAAGCATACCAATGTTTGAAGGGCGTTTTAGGGTACTTCCCAATGGTATAAAAAAAAGAGATAAGGTGAACTTCGTAGGGAATTTCTTAAACTTTAATATGACGTTTAAAGGCTCCTAAATCGCTATTCATTCTAAAAGATATAGGGTGTTTATTTGAAAAGTCAAGAAAAGTAGAAACCTACCAATGTTTGGAAAAGGACGCGTTTTTAGGGCACTTCCCGATGGTATAAAAAAACGAAATATGGTGAACTTTGTAGGGAATTTCTTAAACTTTAATATGACGTTTAAAAATCCTAAATAGTCCTATTCATTCTAGGGATATAGGGTGTTTTCCATGTAAGGTCTAGAAATAGTTAAGGAAATACCAGTGTTTGAAGGGTATTTTAAAGCACTTCCGAATGGTTTAAAGGACGGAAAAGGTGTGAACTATGTAGAGGTTTCCTTCAACTTCAAAATAAAGTTGAAAGACTCAGAATATCCCTATTCAAGTGGCAGATATAGGGTGTTTTCCATTTAAAGTTAAGAAAACGAAAGGAAACTAGAGGCCGACCGAAATTTCGGTTTCGGTTTTCCGGCCAGTTTCAGCCAAGAATTTGAGAGGTTTCAGCTTCAGTTTCGGTTTCGGCCAAAAATGGCAGAAACTTTCGGCCACACCGAAACTCACTTTTCGTGAATTGTCGTGCGTCGCTCGGCTAACTTCGCGGCTAATGGCGGTCGTTACTTGCCATCTTAAGTTCGCTCATATTAATACTACATTAAGTGTCAAGTGACTAAACGAGGATTTTACTCCCCAGGAAATAGATTATGTATCTAAAAACTTGTGGAAAAACTGGCGACGTGTAGGTAAAGTAGAAAAATATATGTTTGTAAATTAGTTTCGGTTTCAGTTTCGGCCGAAGAACTGATTTGCAAGAACCGAAATTTCGGTTCGGTTTCGGCTAAAATTCACTTTCTAGTCGGACTCTAAAGAAAACAACAAAGTCTGTGGGGCATTTTGAAACTGCCCGATGGATATAAGAAAGGAAAGATCATCTTTGAAAGAGGATCTCTTAAGGTTCAACATAACAATGCAATGACCTAAGCCAGCCCTATGTATACGGAAGATATAGGGAATTGTTTTTCGCATAGGGTCTTCAATCAACTTATTTTTTCTGGTGACACCGGATATTGTCCACACGACATATTTACAAAGAAGTTAATTGAACAGGTTTTCTTCATGGCACTTCAGAACGACCATTTAGTCGTTGGCAAATGTTTCTTCAGCTGAAAATAGAGATGCATGAAATTAAACATTTGATTTATTATAACATAAAACCAAGAAACCCCGACGTGACTAATAACGTTGTAAAGCATGCGCGCACGCGTACGGCTGGCAACTAAGAATCAGCGCGACTCAATTTACATTAGCAAGCACATATGCGGTTTATTTAGTTTAGTTCAGCTCAGAAAACACAGTTACAGCGCGAACCTGACGCAAAAGCTTACTCAACGCGTGCGGATACTGTTCATTCACTTGGTACTAGTGCTTGGTTTGAACTCAAACAAGTATTATAATTAAATCAATAAAAAATATAATACACGCCACAGAAATGACTCTTCTTGAAAAGGTAAGTTATTATTAATTCATAATTTTTATCAGAAGAGCTAGTATCATGGCCAATAACTTTAAACATCAATTAGTTTATTTTATAGAAAACTATTGATGATAAAAACGAAATATGAATATGAAGACAACAGATATCTACGCAGTATTTCAAAAGAATTTAAAAATCTATATATAAAACATATTTGGACCGATGAGTTGTCAAGCGAATCATTAGAAATCATTTAGTTTTCTCGCGTCGCGATACGCATCGTTTCGAAACTCTTCGAATCGTGATGCGCAGATGTTTATTTACGCTATCTCGGCATGTGGTGTATAAACATGCCATCTAAAGACCATGCACACAATATTTTCCAAATACATTGAAAACCAAAAACACAATAATTAGCATTCATCGTTATCAAACATTAAATATTTAAATATTATATAACACTCTTACTTTTATGATATGATCCTTGACCCGCTGATGTTTCGATATACTCGTAGTTCAACGCCGACGGATTTTGCGTACTGGACGGATTCCTATCATCGACCGAAGTCGACGAGCTCCGCGCCGAATGTAATCAACTAATCAAAAACATGCCGGCCGAATCTGACCGCACAATATTTAGCACTGTCGGCTCGGAAACCAAACAAAACAAGGAGAAGTATTTTATGGACAGCGCTGATAAAATAAGCTACTTTTTCGAAGAAGGCGCTTTGGATGAAAAGGGCGCGTTGAAAGTAGCACCAGAAGTATCTCTGAATAAAATTGGCCATGCCCTACACGTTTTAAATCCCGTTTTTAAAAAGTACACGTTCAACGAACGCGTCAAAGAAGCATGCTTTCAACTTGGTTTTAAGGAGCCCGCCATTGCTCAGAGCATGTACATTTTCAAGAATAAACAGATCGGCGGTGAAGGTAAGCTAATTTCGGGTCAGTCGTTGGGTCAGTTTTTGTTTGACACGCGGTTATTTTTGGAATTTGGCAATTTTTTGTTGCAGACGTGATGCAACAAGACGCACCGAAATGCTTTTATGCATGATTCATGCGCTTTTTGGACACGCTCCAATTAATTGCACGCCCATTCATACGCGCTGACATGCGCGCATCTTTAATTTTATAACACACCTCATAGCATGATTCTCATTAAATAAACATTAAGCTGTTTCAACTGTCGCGTTGTAATAAAATCAATTTTGATGTATAGTTACGCCACATCAAGACGCATCCTACCTGTTCACGGATCCTTTGAAGGTCGTGGGACTCTGGATAGCGCTGGATGATGCCACGGTAGAAAACGGATGTCTTCAGTTTATCCGTGGGTCTCACAAGGGTGGTGTCCATCGTCGTTATATTCGTAACCCTGATAAATCATCGCCTGAGTTGATGATTTATGATAAACCAGCGCCGATTTATCCTAAAAATCACTTTGAACACATTCCAGTATCCAAAGGTAATACAAAATACAAAAATATGAGAAAAAGGGTAACATTATTACCAATAACTCACCTCTTGTTTAAGGTTCGTGTATATTAATCGATGGGAAAGTTGTCCATGCTAGTGAACCGAACAAATCAACGAAATCACGACCGATTTACACGTTCCACGTGATCGAAACGAAAGATACGAAGTATTCGGAACTTAATTGGCTTCAACCACCATCGGATAATCCCTTCATGAAATTGTACCGCAATTAAATGTTATAAAATAAATAAATAAATAAATAATTTTGTTACTAAATCTAAATGGATACGACTTAAACTAAACTAAAAATGTTTTTGTGGCATTATATTAATCTGAACAAAATAATAGCAAGAGTAAACAATTTTCTTTGATAATTGTGCACGTAGGAGATAGCTGCTGATGTGTTCGTCACATCCATAGGGATTATATTGTTGTCGGTTTCTGTCTGGAGAGGAGTTATAATCTCTTCCAATAAATCTGAGTATAAATAGAATATGACAACTCAATGTAATATTTAATTTTGATGGATTAGTAAAGAAAAAATTCACTAACCTGCTCCCACTGTTGCAAATCTTAGAATTGGACTTGGTTTAGACCATCCGTAGCGATTTCGAGATACTAGAAGAGCTTCGTAGATTGTTTTTTCTTTGAGTCCTTTGATGGTGTATAATTTGGAGTGCATATGACCTGAATTACTGTTGTGTTCGGTGGGGATAGTCAACTTGGTCCAATCAGGTTTATGGATACCCATTTCTTTATACGTGCGGAACCATAGATTGTATTCTATGATAGGCGTGTAACTATCTACCTCCCAGATGAGGGTGTATGAATTCACTGATTCCAGGTTTTTATCATCGGTGCGTTTGAATACACCCGGATTAGGGACACCTAAATTATATAAAACATGAATAACCTCAGGTAGGTTAAAAGGGCCTGGAGAAAAACAAGGACAAGGGAGAGGTCCAAAAGAAGACCTAAAGAAGCATGAGATAATACCATCAAGACAAAACATAAAAATGAAGTGATAAACAGGCATTAAAAAATAATTAAAGCTGGTGACTAACCTGAGAGTTGAATTTGAACTTCCCCTTGACCCAAATCATTCGTAGCTCTGCAAGTGTAAAACCCAAAATCACTCCTCAGCACCTTCCTAATAAGCAAAGTGTGTTTATCTCCATCGACCAGAGGCATCACCCTCTGATCAAGAGTAACAGGGATTTCCCCTTTTAACCACGTGACCACAGCTTGCGGGTCAGCGGAAACTTTGCACTCCAGTTGTACCCGCAGATCAGGAGCAGTGTGAATCCAAGATCTAGTCGACATCAATTCAGGAGGATCTACAGGATGTTTTAAAACAATTATGGGGTTCACATAAAATAATTTAAATTATTACAGATTACATTAAGTTCAATTTCTGCCTTGGCAGGTTCCCCAACACCATTCGCCGCGATACATTCATAAGCCCCAGCTAGATTCCTATCAGACGCTGTGAATGTAAGCGTCTCTCGACTATCACGCAACTGCATAATCTCGCCCTTCGATGACCAGGTCACCGCAGGTTGCGGGACGCCATCCGCTTTGCAAGTCATCTGAACTTCTTCGCCGAGTTTAACTTCCAGAAAGCCATTCTCTGGCAGGCGCACAATTGAAGGCGGATCTATAAATAACCAGCGCGTTCAATTCAGACGCTATGATTTTAATACGATTTTAATGCGTGTTGAGTGTGGTTATGGTTATAGCTGTTGTTTTTAGGTTAAACTAATTAATAAGTAGAATAAAAGCGTAGTACATACGTAGTACTTCGATGGCGTGCACTTGCCGCACGGGCGCCCACGGTTCCGGTCGGATGATTTCGCACATGTACTCCCCCGTATCCTGCGGCTGAACGTTTATAGCTTCCAGCGAGCCGTTCTCCCAGAGTCTGAAGCGATCCGGGGGCGGTGTTAGAGGCGGCCCGCTGTCGGCAAACTCTGCACCGTTGCGGTACCATTTCAAACGGATTGAATTCGCTCCGTCTAAACAATATCAAATAGAACATCTTAACTAATATTTTAAATTGTTTGTAAATGTATGTTTGTAACACATTCACGCAAAAGCCACTAAACCAATTTTGATAAATTTTGGTTTGGAAATACTTTGGACCTAGGAGAATAATATGGACTACTTTTTGTTGCAAAAATATAACTTGAAGGGTGTGTAAAATAGTTTGCAAGTTTTTGTAACCAAAAAGATAAATGACATTGACGATAATTGCGATATTTTTTGGTTGCATTTTTTGAACTAATTTGAATACTAAAATTTTTAAATTCAGATGATCTCAGTCAAGCAATAAAAAAAATGTCAACGCGGATAAAACTAATCTTATTCTAACTTAATTCAACTGAAATTTCTATCTGGTCAATGAGTACAGCACATCAGCGCATGATTTATTAATTGATCTTTATTGAGTTAGCGGACAATTAAATCGATGAATGAACTTTGCTGAATGAATGAACTTTAATAAAAAATATAATACCATTGGATATAAGTACCTAGTACCGAAAGCACTTAGTACCAGCATGTGTACCTAATGTACCCAAGAATGCGGCTTGTTGTCCGTTGATTGCAAAACAAACAAAATTTACTCACCACGCGCGTGATGCTTCGTAATAATGTTGATGACACGAATGATGAATGGGATTATGATCGTGAAATGAATAAAAATTATAGAATAAAAAATATTAATACGGTGGCAATCAATCACGAAGATGTCAACTAAAAATACTTGAGAAATCATAACAAAAATTATACGCGTTTTCTTTGTGTATGAAAAGGTGAATGGAAATGTTTATTTGAAGAATTCAGAAAACTCACATTCATACTCGTAAATGTTTATATTGGGTTAAAGAATGATAAACATAGGAATTTTAAATCGATCATAGAATGATAATAATGTCCGATTCAACTACTTTTTACAGCCAAAACCGAAGATTTCTATGATGAAAAAATAAATCCCAACAAAAGCTTCATACACATTAAAAATTTCGATTATAGAATTGAGAAGTAAGTGTAATATTGATAATAAACATTATGAGAAAATTCAATTAGAGCAGGGTAGCACAGATTTAAAGATTTTTGAAAATCTTCCTGGAAAAAAACATATTTCCGTAGAATCTAAGTCGAAATCAGTATTTTTTGGAGGCGGAAACCAAATGTTTGGTGGGACACTTGTAGAAAATAAAGGAAAACAATATAAAATCACAAGACACGAGAGAAAAATAGGTAAATTTACAGGTAAATTACAAATAATTCGAAAAAAATCAAAAAAACGAGCTTAAATTTAACTAAATTTTGAAGAAAAACAAGTTTTGCTAGTTTTAAATGACAAAATTATTCAATTACTTCTTTAAAAATTATTTTTACCATTATTACTTGTTTCCAAATAACATGGCAAAAGCACCGAATTATTTTCATGCGCTTTCACAGTTGTAGGCACACTTTTAAACCGCATCTCATCACTGACATCTTCGCAATAACCCACATCACATGAAAGTACAACACTTAAAACTCCGACAATAAACACCACACGCACAAATCTACATTCCATCCACTCAAAAAACATTTTAAACTTTGGTTTTATCTAACTTTGTGTGTTTAACAAGTGTTCCGAATGATGTTACAAAACACAACACGCATGTTCGCCCGTCGGCGGCTGGCGAGCGGCAGTAAATGAGAAGAGGGTCCAGAGACACCGTGCATCGCGCACCCAACACCGTCCACTCACTTCGAAACTATTCATTATCAATTACGCTCTTCGTGCACGCCAACATGTAAGTACTAAGTACTTACTTACCCGTGATACAAGTAAGAATGACTGCAATGATATCACAATGAGAGAGCGTTTAACGTGTTAAAATGCCCACAGAGTGACTTGATTTCAAATATAATTTAATTTTTCTTTATTTTTAATTCTAGCAGATGTTGAAAATTACGATGCATGAATAATAAATATGAAGTATTAAGTAAGTGAGATGTTTATTTTGAAAATTTAATGTTAGACATCGTAAAATATGGGTTTTATAAACATAACCTAAGTTTTTATCTAGTAAATGGCTTAGGCAAATTGTAAAATATCAATTGCAAGTGTTTATTACGATTTATATGGCGTATAATGATGATTTACTTGCACAATTCTGAGCTAATATACGTTATTGTGCTTCTAGGGTATTATTGTGTGTTATTGAAGTCTTTTACAATGCCCAACAGGTTTGATTCAATTAATGTCCAATTGAAACACAATATCAACTTAATCGGCGCTCATCCACGCTTGCGCGCGCATTTAGACTTTCATACCGCAGTGCGACCTTTATGCTTTAATTAAATAATGACGGCGTATTGTGGCCAAATAAATATCGCACCAATTGTTGAACTATACGTTTTTTTATGTCGAAAATAACGTCACCGATAAAAATGGCGTGAAATATCACAGACCGGAACCATGCATTGTTTTTCTTGATTATATTTATGTTTGAAGATAAGATGAAAGTGTTTGCACATTTCACCGAAAGTAAAATTCCAATCCCATTGTTTAGATTATTTTTAAAAATTATTTATGATAAAAACATGTTTCTAAAATTAATTTAGTCTAGGATTTATCTTATCTAAATGTCTATTACTGCTTATCACTAAATTTTAAATTTATTCTATTGATTTCTAATTGCGCGGCACTTACCTTTAATCCTGAAGTGAGTTTGCTGTTTCTCCACACTTTATTTACAAAATAATCGCTCTGTTTGTTTCAATTATCAAGCAAAGTAAGCAAAAATTATCAGCAACAAAAGATTCGCTTTTTTTTAGCTGTTTGCATTTGGTGACCTTCGGGAGTATTCGGCTTTATATCTAGTGATTTCTAGGGATTTTAAGCAACGGTTGGCGTTTCCCCTGACAATGGCGCTTGCTTCCACTGCTCTCCGACATGCTTGACAGTTATGCGAGTGATCCAAGTGTCATTGTCTGGCTCATGTTAAGTTATGATAAATAAAATGTTTTTTAATTAGTTGTTAAGTGTCTAGTAGTAGAAAACACTCATCGGCCCAGGCGTGAAAACGTGAGTACACTCATTTCCACACACATGCCACTAGCACGCAATTGTACGCGACGCGTTTTTCTGTAAACACTCGAAGATAAACAAAGCGCGGTTACTAAATACTAGCCGATTGTTCAAGTTTTCATAATAATACCCATTATTAACATACGGACAATATAATCCTGTAATATATTCCATCATTTGTGATAGATAGCGACTTGTTTTTGATATATCTTCAGGCGCTTCTTGAGCAAGTGTTAAACCTAACCAACAAATTCACTATGGTGGTGAAAACACCTTCAGAATTAAATTAAACACCGAATAAACTACTTATTTGCATGTTTTATGTGGTAAAATTGTTTGAAATAAATAAATTTTTAAATTAAAATATGTTTTTTGCTTGCAGACATGGCTTAAAGATGTGGTCCTCCCAGCAACTCAACAATTCCAAACATGCACAAAACATTCGCACCTTGGGCATGACCTCGGCCATCTCACTGGCCGAGCCGAAGCCATCCGACATAGCGAAGTCACTCGAACTCGAGGAGGCGCTAAAGCCGTATGATGTGTTCGAAACCGAGCAAGAGTTAAACCACCGCATGATTATACTCGGTAAACTGTATTCCTTAGTCAAACAATGGATTAAAGATGTATCTATTGCTAGGAATATGCCTGAGAGCGTGGCGGAAAATGTCGGTGGCAAGATTTACACGTTTGGTAGTTACAGATTAGGTGTAAGTACCAAAAAAACATCAAAGCCCATAAAAAACTAATAAAAACTTCAAATTATCAACAGGTACACAATAAAGGTGCTGATATTGACGCGTTATGCGTCGCACCACGTCACATCAGTCGCACGGACTACTTTACAACATTCTACGAGTTGCTGAAACAACAGCCCGAGGTGCGTGACCTGCACGCAGTCGAGGAGGCCTTCGTGCCGGTGATCAAGATGAAGTTTGACAACATCGAAATCGATCTGCTGTTCGCACAATTACTACTAAAAGAGATCCCTGACTCGATGGACTTGCAGGATGATGTGCTGCTCAAGAATTTGGATCCGAAATGTGTGCGCAGCTTGAATGGCTGTCGCGTCACTGATGAGATTCTACGACTGGTTCCTAACATCGAAAATTTTCGGCTTGCATTGCGAGCGATTAAATTATGGGCTAAAAGTATGATTTGCAATCGAAAAATTAAACTTTTTTTTGTTAAATTTTGTGTTGAATGTTTTCAGAACATGGTATTTATAGTAATATATTAGGATATTTAGGCGGTGTGTCGTGGGCGATGCTAGTTGCACGAACGTGTCAATTATATCCGAACGCGGCGCCTGCCACTCTAGTTCATAAGTTTTTCCTCGTCTTCTCGAAGTGGAAGTGGCCGCAGCCAGTCTTACTGCAGCCACCTTCGAGTGTTAGTTTAGGTTTTCCCGTTTGGGATCCACGCGTAAGTTAAAAAAAAGAAAAATTTATTTTTATGCGATGATTTAAAAATTTTAATATTTGTAGGTAAACATTCAAGATCGTCATCATCTCATGCCAATCATCACGCCAGCATATCCTCAACAGAATTCCACTTTCAACGTGTCACAATCAACCCGCGCGATCATGATGGACGAGTTTGCCAAAGGACTCACACTTACGGAAGACATTGTTATAGGGAAGCAAACCTGGGAGAAACTGTTCGAACCTCCGCCGTTTTTCATGAAATATCGACATTTTATTGTCCTGTTGGTGAGCGCCGCGTGTCAGGATGATCATTTGGAGTGGTCGGGGCTGGTTGAGAGTAAAATTCGTTTACTCATAGGTAAAATTATTATTTTTTATACTTCAACCTTTAAAATTCTACTTTTTCCACGGTTTTGAGACACGAAAAGTGTCATTTTAGTCATGGGCGGCCATGGTCGTGGCTAAAGTATTTTAGTATGTGAAACTTATGTTTTTTTTGTTTGTAGGTACATTAGAGAAGAAGACTCACATTGCGTTGGCACACATCAACCCAGAGAGCTTCAGCTACGTAGAACCCAACTGCGAAGAGAACTCAATCACCAGCCTGTGGTTCATCGGGCTGGAGTTTGAAAAGACCGAAAATATCAATATTAATCTAACGTACGATATACAGGTGTTCACTGAGACAGTCAATCGGCACGCGCATAACATCAAGAAGGAAGGCATGCGTCTAGAGGCGCGTCACGTGAAGCGCAAACAACTCGGACAATACCTCTCGCCAAGTCTCCTCGCGTGCGAGAAGAAAAACGCGGCGGCTGCGGTCAAGAACGGCGCGGATAGTCGCAAACGATCTGCCGAAAAGGACGACAAAGAGCCAGCGAACAAAAAGTCGCGAATCTCCGAAGACGTTAATCCACAATCAGTGCGTATAACACACAAAACAATTAAATTATATTTTAACCATTTTATGATTAGTTTGAAGACTCATCAAATGCATCATTGAACATCAACGACGATTCCAACAGTAATATCAGCCTGAGCGAAGAACACGCCGCGTCAAAGCAGGCGCCCGATGGTGCACCACAACAACCGCCACCAGCGGCGGCCGCAGCGCACGCATTGTGCACCTGAGGCGCAAGCAAGGTACGTAATTAGTCGTTTCATACAAACACACACACACAGCGAATGCGAATGCGAATCCGCGATATCATCGCTTGCAAAACTTCGAAGCAACTCTTCAATTTTCGCGTGTGTGTGATTCGCGACGATTCGGTGGTGTTTGGTTTTCAGGTCCGCGTGTTGCATCGGATTCATGTATGTATAAATAATAATAAATGTGTTTCCATGCGCGCATGTAAAATATTGTCGCAGTTGTGTGCAATTTTTCGACTCTTTTTTCCTCATGTAATCATCATATGTGACAAAACAATCTGTTGCGTTTTGTACCGGCGAGATTTCAACTAAAATGCGATGATATTTTACATTTGACAGAGACGATTCACGTCCACACACAACACTCGAATTACTTACGTTTACGTTTTGTTTCATTTTTTAAATCTTAACGGCCTCGGTTTTGATTCCGGAGGCGCTTACTACTGTAGCTGGTCGATCGAACATTATTCCATTATTTTTTTGATACCGACTAATGTGTACATACTTAGTGGATGAATTACTTTGAGATATTTTATAATAAGTGAAGAACGATGTGCCGATGTGCAAGCATTGATTACTTTAAACGTATATACGCAAAGTATACTGAGAGCGCAGTGAATGAGAGAAAATGGCCGATTGGAAAATGTTGGGGGATGTTTTTACTGTTTTTATTTTTTATACTTCTCGAATATTTATAATTTACTGTCACGAGATTGTAACGTTTTCTTTGGCATTTGATAAAATAAAAGCGCAATCCCCAAACAGTCTTGAACTTTGTTGTGTTATCCTGTTGCTCTTACTGACAGGATTGTAGCTGTATTGATTTTACTCTACTGCGCATGCGCATTGTGGTATTCAACTGGATTTGATTGGGAGCCATCCCATTCAGTTGTTCCCAGCATCCCCATGGACCACAAGTGTGTTTTTCGTTGAATTTTCCACCCTCAAAACCAGCTCAATAATAAAACATGAAGTTTCACCTTCGTTTGATTTGTTTAACTTATCTTACAACTACTTTAGGTAAGTTTTACTGATTTTATTCAAGATTTGGTGGTAAATTTCCGAAATAAGGTTTTATTTTAGGTTTACATGCTCCAACGACAAAACGTACGCCTGATGAAGATTATTACTACGACTACGACTCAAATCCTAGCAATAATATGAATAATAATATCTCAAAAGTGCAGTTCAAACCGGAATCTTTAATACTGCCTCAACCGGATACTAACACGAATTACCATCATAAGTATTCAGTGGATGTGTTGCCTGATGTGGAACTACCGGATGATTCTTTGGCGGATACTGATCTGAGGGATCATGACTTTATTGATAATTTAATGTATGTGTATTATGGATCGCACAATAAGAATGTGAGCAACTATGGACAGGAGATTATCATCGTCGGGTCTGTGTTGAGTTGCGCGGCGCAGTTGTTAACGATTTTCATCGTATTGTTGAAGAAGAACTTCAATGGCAAGCGGGACGTGAACTGCATCTTTTTGCAATTGATGGGGTGCTTTTGTTTGTCGAATTTGATATTTATGATGGGTGTTTATGTAAGTAGAAACTATTTTATTATCTAAAAACTTAATGTTACTCGATTTAATCGCGAAAATGGTATAATTTGGTTGATTTATGTTAATTTTCTCGTTATAACATTATAGTTTCTCTGTGTAACTATGAAAAATATTTTCATTTTAAGCAATTATGAGCTAGAATATTTGTATCAAAGACATGACATGAATGGAAACATTTGAAATATTGTTGTAATTATGATCACAACATCAACAGATTTCAAAACGCGTAAAATCTTATTTGTTTATATTTTGTTCCTCTAAAATCACCTTGCTATAACGTAATAAAATGCATATTCTCTTAGGCGTCGTTATAGAGAAGTTATATTGTAATTTTAAATAAATATCACATCTGCATTTGACTTCATTGAAAACAGACTACCGAGTATGTATGCATGCACTTTACTTCTTTGACTTAGTTTTAGTTTGCGTTGTAAAGCCAAATGGAAAATGGAAAATTCAGCCGGTGTTGTTAGTTTCTTCCGCTTTCAACGACTCAACGCGTTCGGTTTTTATTTCTTATTTGTATTTCTGTTTGCTTAGGTGGTTCATAAATGCTACATGTGTATCGAATTGCCGTCTGTAGCAAATTGCTTATAAACACTTTTCAAGAACAAAATAAACACAGACTCCAACGTCAAATAGAGTATAATTGAGGTTAAGGTTGATATTTTAGAGTACCTACAATATAATATTTCTCGTCTATACTCTTCTCTTGAATTAATTCTATATTTACCACCATTTTACTATAGACATATGATTAAAAGGCTAAATATTAAAAATACTGACTTATATTTTCAATTCTTTTTGTTTCAGTCAACTAGGAACGCAATCAAGTGCCAAATAATCGGTGTTACACTCTACTATCTCCATCTCCTAACAGCCTTCTGGCTGTTTATGTTCGTATACTACATCTACAAAAAATTCTGCAATGCGGACATCCTCAAAATGCAAATATTTTACTCTGTGGCATACGGTGCCCCTGCTCTATTAACAATGATCTCCATATTAATATCACCGCGAAGTTTCGAAACAAAACGATTTTGTTTCATATCAGTTCAAAAAGGAATGATAGTAAACTACATGATGCCTGTTTCGTTATTAATCATCTCTACAACCGTATATTGCCTGAATGGCATTCGGAAAATCAACATGGAGTTGTCCAAACTTGAGTTAACAAGTTCCGCAGAATCATTGAATGCGTTAAAGCATGAAATCGAAGGAACCGACGACAAGAACTGCCCCGATGGTGAAATTATCAGTTTACGCGAGAGTAAACGATGTTTGAAGACGCTGTGCATCGTGCAAACCTCGTATGATATCGTCTGGTTTGTCGCTGTGCTCGCACTTGAGAATATCAACTACAGCAATAGCATGTCCATTGTTTATTCCATCACATCTTGTTTACTTGTATGTATTTCTATATAATACCTAACATAACTTTTGTGTGGATCTGTGATATTCTCTGATTGAACTAATTTCAGACTTGGTACATCTTCGCACGGACAAAGACTTTCCTCCCGACGATAATGAGCAATCGATTGAAGTTAGTTGAAGATTGTGTTCCGGACCAGATAAAGGTGCACAGCGCAAACACGATGATTATTTCACATCGTGGCTCCTCTGATAGTGTGCCGCTTCTGGTCAGTTCCGAAACCGAAATGAGGGAACTTGTCAGACACGATTACATTAGCACGATTAGTAATTAATTTCGTGCGGATTTTAACTACTTCAAAAGAACGCAATAAATACATACTCATTTTTTGAATCTATTCGATATTCTAAAGTCTGTTATCTTTCAACTAATGTCGGTACATGTAATGGCGGCATGGTTGTATTTAAATAACATAGGACATCGGCCTATAACAGTATTAATCTTTGACGATGAAAATTCGAAGCGTCTAGAAGCGTCAAAGGTGCATTACAGCAGAGTAGTGTTTTAACTCGAAATGTTGTTCGATTATAACGTTATAAATACATTGTAAAACGTATAAATAAAGTGAAAGAATCAAAATACGCAATATAATAAGTATGTTTTGTTTAATTTTTCACTTACCTTGAAGTACTGCGAGGATTAATTGAAGAAAACACAACCGGCTTCACCAAACAACTCAAACTTTATGCTTATGTGCGTTTAAACTTTTAGACGCCATGATTTTTCAAGTTAGTTTGTAGTACTTACGGCAGATGGCACTGCAATGCAGTTTTGTGAAATAATATTAAAAGAAATTTGTTAATTTCACTACATCTTCCAACTTTTCACAACCAAATATAATTTATTATTATTATAAAATTTATTTTATTGATATTTCAAGTGTTTATACTTAATTTATTCATTGTTTCAAAAATAAAATATAATTTTATTTTAAATTTAACACCAATTTTATTTCACCGAGGGCGCTGCGATGCACTTTTCAAGTTTAATTTCTTGTTTACCGCAAGTGTAACCTCACAACCGCACAAAATTGTTTAAAAATTAAATAATGACGGATTCCTCACAGTTTTTAGTAAGTGGCTGGGAAGACGACCTCAATGACATCGACGAAGAAGAAAATCCACACGGTAAACACACTTTTTAACCACTAAATTTATCATAAACTAAATTTTCTCATAGAGAGCCCCGAAACAGAAATTCTCTGGGCAGCAGAACATGGTCACCTTGACATTGTGATAAAAATCATCGAAGAACATCCACAGCTTGTAAACACAAAAGATAAAGACGTATAATTCACCAAAATTTTGTTTAATTTTAAATTAGATAAAAATGATGAAAATGTTGAAATTTTTTTAATTTTTGATGATTTTATCATTTTCTGAAACGTCTTGTGCAAGGGGTACATAATAAAACCTTGTGAGAAGATAACCAAAGGGATTTTCAAAGGTTTTTCCTTTTTTATGCACTTATGTATACAGTTGATGGGTGAGTGTGTTGTGTGTTACATAAAGATGTGCCATTTGCGACGACCAAAACGACATCCACCACCAGATTGGGGATGGGTTGGTCTGCGCGGAAAAGTTCACACCGTTCGGATGATACGTGTGAAACTTATCGCTTTTTATCGAAACAAATTCAATCGGAATTTATTCTTTATGTTGTTACAAAGTAGAGCAGCGCAAAGTAGCGCAAAGTATTCTCATAATCGCATGAGATATCCGCCGATCCAGTGCGGATATAATCGTAAACCATCACATATCACACAAACATAACAGTAAAACTATGAAGTGATAAAAACAAACAGGAAAAAATTAAGAATTGTTATGGATACAAAGTTAAATATTCATGAATATTCTCGTAGATGAGTAGTATTTATTATAGGTACTCTAAAATATCAACCTTAACCTCAATTTGCACTTATTTGATGTTGGAGTCTGTGTTTATTTTGTTTTTGAAAAGTGTTTATAAGCAATTTGCTGCAGACGGTAATTCATACACATGTAGCATTTATGAACTACCTAAGCAAACAAGTGAAATACAAATAAGAAACAAAACCGAACGCGTTGAGTCGTTGGAAAGCGGAAGAAAACTAACAACACCGGCTGAATTTTCCATTTTCCATTTGGTTTTACAACGCAAACTACAAAACTTAAGTCAAAGAAGTAAAGTGCGTACATACTCGGTAGTCTGTTTTCAATGAAGTCAAATGCAGATGTGATATTTATTCAAAAATACAGTGTAACTTCTTTATAACGACACATAACCGACTATACATTTTATTATGTTACATCGAATGAACAAAAAGTAACAAATATTGAGATTTTACGCGTATTGGATCTGTTTAATCATTTGTTGCGCTGGTTATAAACTCAATTACTCTTGTAAAAATGCCAGTAAATATTTCCTGGAGCCTAAATAATCTAAATATGCGTTCCGCGTCGCTAAGTTAGGTACATCGAGGAACAAAACAAACCCCAATTTTGGTATTTTTTAAAATTTTTAGTTAAAATTCACACGTTTTACGAAGTATTTCATCAAAAAAATTAGTTTTTATTGATTTTTGAAGAAGTTATGCAACTTTTTATGCATCAAAACGCATGACGTTATGTTACATAGTGTAACAAAATAATAACCAAATATTGTGATTTTACGTGGATTGGCATCTGTTTAATCTTTTGTTGCACTGGTTATAAACTCAATTACTCTTGTAAAAATGCCGGTAAATATTTCCAGAAGTCTAAATATGAATTCCGCGTCGCTCAGTTGTATTCACTTGTGTTATGTTTAAATGATTTTCTAGTAACGCAACGTGCACCCCAACAAATTAGCTGAAAAATCGTGCTTAAGTTATAGAAATTAGCATTGCAATTTGTAGGGATGTTGGGATCATAATTACAACAATATTTCAAATGTTACCATCGATGTCATGTCTTTGAAAAAATATTTTTACCTATAATTGCTACAAATTAAAATATTTTACGTCGTTACAACGGTTACAAAAAAATTAATACGTAGATAAGATTGTATTATTTATATTTTGTTTCGATTTAATATTCTCACGCGATAAACCTGTGGAAAATTGAAGTATCGACGAATCGAATAATGTAAATCGTGCGCCAATTGAAAGGGCGTGAACTGCGTCGCGGCGCTCCATTCTTTGACTTTTAAATCTCATAAATCTTTTATAAATCATAGAGTTGCGCAAGACGATTGCCGATGCGCGCCGAGGGCGCGGATGCGAGCAGGCGCACGCATTGAAAGAGACTTTTGATTTATTGCCTCACGTTTACAATTTGCAAAAAATCTTATTTGCCCTAATACATATACAATGAACGATACACGTAAACACCCACACACCCACACAGAATTGATACAATTCACACATTCACGTCTTTTTTTGGCTGGCGGAGACAATTTGTTTGTCTCTTTTTTGTCGGCGTTCGTTCTTTGTGATCATTTGAATGAGTTATTGATTATTCAAGCGGAAAAAATATATTTTATACCGTTTAATAGAAATTAAAACTCTTTCTCAGAATAATTGACTTAAAAAAAGACATAAAATAATATCTGAAGGTTATGGTTTATTATTAGAGCAAAAACTATTAATTTTTAGTTGTTTTATAGGAGATACACAAATTTTTTCAAAGTTTTACGTTTTAAAAAGTACAATATCTTTTTTTTTTATATTATAAATTGATAAAATTGCAAAAACTGTAATACAGCTCGACAAATTTGAATAATTTGATGTTTAATTGGTTTATTTTGAAATTATGGACATTTAAATGTTTAAAAAAGTATAAAAACATGAAAGTTTAGCAGAAAAATGGGAAAAAACCAAATTTGATAATTTTTTACTGTAATTTATCGAAGAAAACAGAAAAAAGACACAAAAATCAAAAGAGAAAGATGAGAGAAACGTAGAACCCTGCAACTGCATTGCTAAACAACTTAGACACGACTATACACTACAAGCAACCCGCAAAAAGTAGTGGGGGTACACTATTGCCAAACTACGGTACCCTGGCTGTACCAACATACTTCCAACCCAATCTATACAAAGTAACAAGAAGCCCCTATTACTACTAACCAATTAAAATTGATTTAAAACCACTTAAAACACGATTCCCAATTTTTTTCTTTCTTTATACATAAATGTACACAGATATTTTTTGTGTTAAACGTTACGCATCATCTCTACCCAACACAACTAGCCATACCACACTAACACATAAACGTGCACCGATGGACGCACTGCGCTATAACGCTATATGGATGATTTTGAAAGCCAACACGCTCGACTTGATTTGACAATGATTTATGATGATTGAACCTAATTCGTTTCGTTCGCGAACGTATGAATGCGTAGCACACGCTCCACGCACACACATTGCGTGTGCTGGTGATTTTTACGCGATCGATAAATTTATTTACTCTCCACACACGCGCTAAACGATGAGCAAATAAAATAAACCCATCAATATCTATATCAATAAACACAACAATTGAAACATGTCTAGGATCCGAGGTACTAGATCAGTGAATAATACAAATATTAAATTGTACGTGTAAACATTTGTAGATACGTTGCATGTGTATGTTTAATGTTTGTTATCGTTTATCAGCCGGGCATGGGAGTGCATGGGAGGATGAGGGTGAGGGGGGAATGTAGATATGGCGGGCAATGGTCGTGAAGGCCGCGCGTTCTGTGTATGATATTGATTAATAAGAGCACATTTAAAACGTTGCGGATGGCTTCTCGTCCGGCCCCGCACCCGGCCGAAAATCGCATACAAATTGGAAAGTAATAAATTATGTGGCCATAAATTATTTATCAGTCCTTCGAATGCAGAGAATGCTGAGAATGGCGAAGCGGCAGCGGCAGCGCTAATTCGCGCCACGCTGAGCACAAGACCGGAAACTCAAGCGCAACCATGGCAGCGAAGGAGAATAATGAGCGCGGCGTGGGAGGCCGAGGAGGACTGGCCGGCATAATGCGAAACTAAGGACGCAGTCGGCCGCGGAGAAAAAGTAATGAGTCGCGCAGAAAAACAAAATTCATTTCAGTCAATATACGAATATTCATACTACTAGTCAATTATTTTATATTGTGTTGATAATATTTTTATTGCTTGATTGGAATCACAGGAATTTAAAAATTTAATATTGTAAATAGTGGAAAATTTAGAAAAAAAACATTGATATATTTAAAAGATTGTAATAAATGAATTGTAATTAGCGTCATCTATTTTTTTCGTGGCACAAACTTGCAAATTATTTTAAACAGATTTCATGTTATATTTTAGTGATAGCGATATTTAGCATAGCCTATGTTATTCTCCTGGGTCCTAAATATCTCCATACCAAAATTTATCAAAATTGGTTGAGTGGTTTTTGTATGAAAGCGTCACAAACATACAAACAAAGAATTTTAGTTAGAATTAGATGCAGAAATAAAAATTAAAAATTTTTTCACTTGAAATTTAAACTAATTTCTCTTAGGATGTTTAAAATCTCGATGAAAAGTTATTTTAAGGCAATTATTGATTTACTAGCTTTAACCCGCGGCTTTGCTCGCGAATATCTAAAATAATGAA